AGTATCCAGCAAGCTGTGGCTGTGTAGAGTCATGTGTAAGAAACCTGTTAGTTCCACCTGGTGTTTTATGTGGACATTCCAAACTCAGCAGCTTCTCTACAGTCTAGGCTGTTTCAGCAATGCAGCATGAGAAGCTGAAAGACAGGAGAATTTTGCAAGTTTTTTGTTTTAACCTAGCTGTTCATCTCCAACTTTTTGTATTATCCGGTTCATGAATAAAAGTAGGAAGTTCGATATTTTAGGCATTTGCATCTGACAATGCTTCATATGAAAAATTTCAGTAAAAAAACAAATGTTTTGGCTTTGAGGAGCAGAAGGTGTGCCTCCCTCAACACTCCCTCAACATTTACCTTGTTGACTTACTTCTCATGCAGTGTGATGATATACAGTACCTTTAAGCTGTGGAAAGACATTTTTTTTATTATAAGCAAAATAAATACATACTGAATATTTATAAATAAGGTCTTAATCACTGCCATGCCTACAAGCCAAAGAACAAAGACTTTTTTTGGTTGGAACTGCCTCAGCAGTGTGATGTGGAAAACATGACTCTTACCGGAAATGTTTGTATTATTCTTATGTATTTTTTTTAAATACAGCAATGCATATATGTGAAACCTAATTGCATAGAAAGCTACAGCCAAGAACAGAAGAAAGAAGGCAAAAGGACTCTCTGTTGGAAGAATGAGTGTGTTCAGACCAGCTGAAAACTAGAAGGTCTAGCTCGGAGAAATTAAGGCAGACCTGAGGTCTTCTGCTGATCATTCACTGCAGGATGTAGAAAGGAAATGTAGAAGTGGGAATATGGCTATCTGTGGTAAAAATAGAATTGGAGATCTGTGCTGCTTTCTGAATAACTTGCTACAAGCATGGAGGGGCATTTTACTTTCCCTGAAGTGATGTCTGAAGTTTTTTCTGGGTTTCTTCGCAGTTGTATTTGGATTTCCCAAAAAATGGGGGAGGGTCCAAATTCAGGATTGGTATGTCTTAATCCTTTTTGGTAGCTGCTCATTGGACTGGCTGGAGCAGTTTTAATTTTCTTTTAAACTTTCCTGACGCTGTTTTAAAATTCAAATTACACTGAAGCTGCATTCCTGTTTGTTTTTGTTTTGCATTCCAGCTGAGTTGTTTTGCTTCAGTGGTTGAGATCTTGTTAAGAATGCCTGAACATAATTTACTACTATAATGTAGAAGCCTGTAAATTGTCTTTCTCACAACTTCATCTACAAAGTTAAATTATTTGTTTTATCTCCCTTTAACTATGAGCTGAAGATAAGAAGTTTGCTGATGTGTGTGAATAATGTGATGGTTCCAGATCTTCATGAGCTGAAGTTTTTTAGCTAATGCAATCCTCATGATCTTCTGTCCATTCCCCTCTCCACATACACAGATACACACACACTTAATCCACAACAGTGAAGACGAAGAAAAAAATGTTTTCATGAGTTATATCCTGCCTCATTACACAAGATCCTTTTCATTTCTAAGATCTTGGAATTTAAATCTTACTCTGATGATTCTTGATTGTTTGTGCTTTAAAGTAGGCTTCTTTTTTTTTAATTAACATTTTAAATTACAATGGATTCATTTTTGATATGCAGCTTGGAAGTTCAGAAGCAAGAAGTAAACCTTGAGGACAATATGGCAATATTCTGTAGGACTAAAATGCCTGGGTTTAAAATTTCAAAACACCTGGCTCATTTCCAGCACTGACTGTAAAAGGGAGTGTGCTTGTTTCTTACATTTATTTATGCATGCTGCTTTCAGACTGGGAGACAAGGTAGTAGTTTATCCTGGATGTTGTATGCATGTGCAACAGAAATGTTGTTTTGACCTAAAACCATTTAAAAATTAATATAGGACAAGAGACAAAACACAGTCTTAATTACATGATGGAGGATGAAAGTAGCACACTTGCTGGACTTTCTTTTGTCATGCGTGGATTCAAGTGGGAGTTGCAAACCTTTCCAGTTGCTTTTCAGGCTTTCAGTTGTGGCATTTGTGGTTATTCTGTAGATTTTAAAGACAGACCTCAAAATATATAGATTTTTGGAAGACATTTTATATTTCAGAACAAGTGTCCAAGGCTTTATTTGTAATTGAGGTGTACAGTTTCTTGCCAGTTCTGTAAGAAATTTCAGATCCCAGTATAAACCTATGGAAAGGGAGACTATAGTGTAGTATGAGGTTTATGTAACAGTTTTCTGTTATTTTTAATGATAAATATTTAAACTGCAAAATATGTACTTTTAACAAGATATTCTGAGCCTTAGAATGACAATATTTGGTTAAATTTCCACAAAAGAAGGCTCCAATTTCAAAGTTCCATGATTCACTTCCCTTAGGAAGTACCTTTAAATGCCTTTATTAGACAATAAATCCAAGTTTATCCTATACAAAACTATTGCTTTTTCTGCAGATGAAGAAGTGCCAGCACTCATTGCTTGTGAAATATATTGAAATGTCAAGCTTCCTATTGTGTTGGAACTGGACTGAAATAAAGACCAATTTCAAATGTCTGTCTGTTCCTAAGCTGAAAACATAAATAAATCAGAGTCCTCTCTATCACCTTTAACAGTTCAGGAAAATTTATAGTAAGATTGGTTATTACCTAAAACTGATTGCTTGATAATCTACCTGAACAGTTTCTAGGAAATTCTGTGTGTATCTACTTAAAACCTTAAATCAGTCATTTTGAAAGGTGTTTTATAACCTATTGAAAAATAAATAAGGCTCACCATAGCTCTGAGCATATTTTTGCTGGGTGGGAACCAGATCCAGCAGTCACATGTTTTCTACACACACTGTGCCAGTGTATGCTTGATACCAACAACTCAGGTTAAAAGAGAGTGGATCAGAGCCTTCCAATTTAGATGCCAGAACGTTCAAATCTTATAAACACCTGGAATTTCACAACTGGTAGTGAGATATATGCAGACTTTTGGACTCTGATATTAATTTTGAATTGATATCTTTACTTTCCAAAGTGATCTGTAGTTGTTTACATCCAGATTTTGGCTTCCCACTTTCTTGGTAATCATAAACTCTTTCAGCAATTGTCTGGAAGCAAAAGGACAGAAAACAAAAATCTGCTGAAGTGTGATATCTTCTGGCATCCACTAGTTTTTTATGCTTCATTGTCAGCATTAATTTCAGTATTTTTGATACGCTTTTGCCAAAATTAATCTTCTACACCTTCCATCAGTAAAGACACAGCCACAGGCTCTGGAATCTCAATGCACTCTACCTTAGGTGAGTGAGCAATACACTCTGCATCTGCAAAAAAAGCCGCGGACAACTGTGTCACCCAGAGAACCAGGAATGTTTCTGATTTTTAACAACTGCTCCTGTCACAAAAACTGTTTTCAGGTGCTTCTGTAAATGTCATCAGCCTGACCAGTGGAGCTAGTCGGGAGCTTTCCAGCTTAATGTTGTTTTCTTGGATAATGCTACTTTTTAGAAAGGATTCCTTTTGCTTAAGGAGGTAATTTTTTTCCACAGTCAATGTTAGGATTCTTTTTATTTAGAGGGAATTATTCTGTCTTAAAATGTCACGATGCTCTGCTTGATGCCTTCTCTAGGAAAGCTGGTCCTGAGAGTTTCAAAGCATAACATGAAATACTTCGAGTGGCTCAACTCCCAGATAATTTATTTATTTATTTTTAATCCATAATCTTGCACACCCATTTTTTTAAACCCAATTTTAGATAAGGGAAGAAGTCAGTGACTGACAAACTGCTGCAGGGTGGAAGAGTCACCTCTGTCCTGGACCCCTCCATTAGCTGCAGGCCACAGAAGCTGCGAGACCCGTCAGCGGGGCTGGGTCAGCCCGTGCGCGCTGGAGGCGCCGCTCCCAGCCACAGGCTGATACCATCTTCCCATTAAGATAATCACCCCACCCCATTCTTCATTGCTCTGGCTTTTCCTCAAAAGGCTCTTCCCACCTGGCATGTTCTTAGGGAAGGAGCTCTCCACAAGGAAAAGGAGGGAGAGGCAGTGTGACAGGGCTGAAATATGCAGTCACATCGTCATCACCAGGGAGGGAAAAGCCACTGGCTGCTCTGCCTGGGCTTCAGTTCAAAGAGAGGGCTGTGGCAAGTGCTGTCATTCCACCCTATTAGACTAAACCTATGTGAGGAGGTGATTGAAGTGGCATACAAACTTAAGCTGTCTTTGGGGCTGATTCCCAATCACAGAATCACAGAACGTTAGGGGGTAGGAGGGACATCTGGAGATCATTGAGTTTAACCCCCCTGACAGAGCCAGGAGCACCACAGAATGTAGGGCAGATCACTCAGAAATGCATCCAGATGGGTCTTGAAAGTCTTCAGAGAAGGAGACTCCACAACCTCTCTGGGCAGCCTGTTCCAGTGTTCTGTAACCCTTACAGTAAAGAAGTTCTTCCTCTTGTTGAGGTGGAACTTCCTGTGCTCTAACTTGCATCCACTGCCCCTTGTTCTATCACAGGGCACGACTGAAAAGAGATTGGCCCCTCCTTCTTGACACCCATCCTTCAGATATTTATATACATTAATAAGATCCCCTTTCAGTCTTCTCTAGACTGAACAGCCCCAGGTCTCTCAGCCTTTCCTCATAAGACAGATGTTTCAGTCCCTTAATCAACTGTGTAGCCCTCTGTTGGACTCCTTCAAGCAAATCCCTGTCCCTCTTGAACTGGGGAGCCCAGAACTGGACACAATACTCCAGGTGGGGTCTCACTAGGGCAGGGCAGAGGATGAGGAGAGCCTCCCTTGACCTGACACACTCTTCTTAATGCACCCAAGGATACCATTGGCTGCCTGAGCCACAAGGGCACAGTCCAACAGGACTCCAAGGTCCTTCTCCAGAGAGCTGCTTTGTAGCAGGTTGGCTCCTAACCTGTACTGGTGCAATCTCACCAGTATCACCACTGAGTTTCTCTTATTTTCTTCTTTCTTTTTTCTTTCTTGCTTGCTTTTTAATGTTAGAAAACATTATTATGTTCTTATATTTTCTTTCAGATTCCCACAGAAGGACACCCCACTGAACAAGATGTCAGCTTTTAGCAGACGAAAACAGTCTCCCAATCAGAGCGGTAATACTGAGTCTCCTTCATTTTCTGCTGCCAGAGAACTCAGAGTTTGAAATGCTATTTAATAATTGTCAGATGGGATTGCTTGTTGCTCTGGAGGGACAAAACTTGACACGGGCTGAAGTCTGCTTTCTATGCAGTGACCAGAGGCAAACTGTAAGCACAATGACAGTTTGCATTTCCCTGAAACCCAAAAAATTCTTCTAAAGACTGAAAGGTTTTGAGGCACAAGAGGACCAGTTTTGGGTGGGATATGCCAGGTTTAAGTACACCAAAATAGGTGCAGCCACAGTGAGGAGCAGCTTGGCTCTTCCATGTTAAGTACATAAACTTTTTATTGCCAAAATAATAAGGAGATAAGCTCCATCTGCCTGTGCTCATGAGACCTGAACTCTTGTATCAGAGCTATATTTACATTTTTAATTGAAACTTGAGAGATAATTCATTAGGCCAGACACTTCAGCAAACCCAAGGAAGGCCTCATACATTAGCAAATTGCTTGTGGTATTTATTGAAAAGAAAACACAATATAAACTCCTTGGCTACTGCCTTTGTAGGAGAGTTCCTAAAACCTTGTTTGCACTAAGCAATTAAGAAAGCCATGATTTCTGTAAAGTACAAGTGATTTTTGGGTAAAATGCTTTTGGAAATAAGTCAATATTGCACATGCAAGGTTAATTTCAGTAGTTGGGTATATATTGAGTAATTCTTGAATATACAGAAATGCTTATGTTCATGTCATTCAAGAATATTTCTTCAAGTTTCAAAGGAAGTTATGGCTGACAGTAAAGCACAGATTTAAATATATTGCAGACAGTTGAAAGCATCTTTGGCTAAAACTATCTGTATGAAAGGAATGCTGGAATCATTTCCACCTCTTTAGTTGCCATCAGCTACCCTTGCTGTAGAGAAGTTTTCTCTCTGGAATGCATGTACTTGAACTCACATTTTTCTTAGTTTCAAAAATTAACTATTTTTTTCTATGCAAATTATTGTACCAAATTAAAAAATCTAAATATTTATGGGAATGGGAAGGTCCAGTTTTTGCTACTGAATCTTCTTTCAGATCTCTGATTATTGAATGTTGTGAAGTTTTATTTCTATCTATAAAAGTTCAGCCAAGTCCTTATTACATCCCAGCCATTCCTAGTATTATCAGTATATCCAAACCAGTAACTATTTAGAGAAAATACACTTAATACATTCTTGTTTGCTAATTGCAACTGTCTTCATTCTTGACAGTGATTATGAGATAATGCTATTGTTTAAACTGATAGAAGTACTTCCTCTTTTCAGTTTGCAAGAAGTGTTCATTTTAATAGATATTTTAATGAACCACTGGAGCTGGGATGTCTTAGTTTTTTTAAGTCCTTAAAGTCAGATTCACATAAAGATTTTAAGGAGAAATAGTATCTTGATTGGCAGTAAACAGGCTGATGCAGAAATCATGCAATGAGGTTGGATTCCTTTCTGTACTTATTCAACTGTGATTGTCAGCACATTCTTACAAATATCATCTTTGATGTGCCTGTTCACTTCTTAATGGTCTCAAAGGGCTACATCTATACTGCTCAAAAAAAGAAAGCCAAACCTTGCCATCAAGGCCAAGAGGCAGTAACACAAATCTTTGCTATCACAGCCATGTTTCTTAAATGTTTGTCACTTCTCTAGCAGCTTAATCTCAGAGAGAGCTAGTCAACACAGGACCAGAAAAAGTTCGCAACTAGGCAAACATGAAAGACTAGTCCAATCCTTTAATTCCTCCAGTAGACTTCTTTTATTTGGCAGTATGGACATATCTCCAGTGAATTGCAACAGATAAGAGCAGACATAGTTTGTGTTACAGTCAGATACACATTTTTAAACTGAACTTTATGTTTGTATTGCAGTGGGATTTTTTTCAAAAGAAAAGTGCATTTTAAAATAATGATTGGCCATTGTCACTTAAAATAAATGCTTTTATGATTTATTATGGTTTGATCTTCCATTCACTGTAGTTGTTTTTCATACTATCACCACAGCTGAAGTTGTTGGATTAAAAGCAAGAGCTACATTTTATAAATCACAGCAGAATGCCAAAACACAGCTCTGACAGACAACGTAATACTGACTGCATATATTTTGGTGAAGTGTCAAGTTTCTATACTCAATTTTTATTGTCAAATGTCCTTACTGAACACCAGAGAATGTCTTCTGAAATCTGGTCATGCTGAACTCCTTTTGTGTGAAGGTTCAGAGAGAGAGGAATTAATGGAGAAAATCATAAAGTTCTCTTAAGGAAGAACTGAGAAACTCAGTATTGTTCATCTATCAGTTTGTTGATTAATTTGATGCTATTGACAAAGATTTTGCACATTTAATTTTTCACCTTCTCTTGCCTGGGAAAATTTGAGGCAAGTAACATGATTAAAAAATAGAGTTTCCATTTGCACTCAAGTTCTAGTCTTCCATTTTAAAGGGGAATGCTTAAATAGTACAACAGTATTCCCCTTCACCTCAAACAGGCTGACGATATGAAACTTAGGTAGGAAGAAAAAGAACTGATAACGCTGGACAATAGTAATCAAATATTTTTGCTTGCTTCTGGGCAAAGCCCCTCACAGAGGGAAACCAAAGGAGGTAAACATCAGCTATCTAATACAGTGAGGAACATATAGTCTCACAAATCAAGTGAACATTGTATTATTAGTCCCTCAGTATGCTAAATATCAGTGTTGTTGGTTTTTTGTAAGTAAATAAGGCTTCCACATTCATGCAGCTTGTGAGTGTGCATTCCTGTCTGTCTGTTGCAAAACTCTTTGAATCTATTCCCAAATTTTAGGTAAATCTCATGTAAAAACACAGGCCTTAAAGCTGTTGCTTTTATTTAAAGTTCAGTAAAACTAGCTACCTGTTTATAAAAGAGACCATGTTTATACAGCCACTGAGGAAAAAGCTTCAGAGTCTAATTCTCTGAGAAACCTGAAAATCCACACATGTTGGGCTGGATGTAGGATGTGATCATCTCAGGAGTAGTTTTTGTCAAAAATTTGCATCCTGTCACACATCTAAAATTACAAAACCCACAGACAACACCTCAGGAAACAGGATTCATTAGCTCAACTTTCCTGGAATTACTTTAGTATGTATGTTTCATAATTCCTTTATCAGATCTGTGATATTTGTTTACATTAAAAATATGCCAAGCTGTTTCATATTAAAGATGAAACTGAACTGAGTTTGGTAAACCAGGCTTCTACAGTCTCTTTAAGGATGAAGAGATTATAAACTGCAAAGTTTTGAAGGAAATGGTCTGCACCTAACAGAGGAATGATAGCTGAAAAATCAACATGTGCTGCACTTTTTTATACATTGTAGCCTTTCCAATAGCAATTTAGGTTTCCAAAGTTATCCCATACGTTTAATTTAAGAATATTTCTCTGCATTTGCAGATAATAAGAGCCCTTCTGTGGCAATTAAAGGCAGACAACAGGCTACTCATGATGTTAATAAACGACGGACCCTTTTGCAAGATAACAGCTGGATAAAGAAGAGACCTGAAGAGGAAAGGTAAGAAAGATACAAAATACATTCCTTTGGTATTTAGCTCAGTATGCTATTTACCTTTTCATGGAGTGTCTACATTTTAATGAACGGTATTGACCAGAGTTACATAAATTTCATCAAATAATTATTATTTGTTTGTCTTGATGAGGTATTGATTGCCTTTTGGAGGCAGCATTTGGCAGGACTTTCACTAAGATTTTTATTGGGACTTTTAAGTGCTGAGGTGATATGCTGATTTAGTGACATGTCTGCTTTACAAGAAAAATTCCACGTTTTCTGTTTTAGGTAGCAACAGTACAGTCTGACTTTTGTCTTTTTGCAAGCATGAAGATAATTAATCTTGGAAAGTTCTTTTAAGGAGCTTGAATCAGAATTATTTGAAATTTACTGTAATTCAAACTAAGACTAGTATTGCATTAGAAACTTCAGCTTGAGACCAAGCCCTCATTGTTTGAGCCTTCCTACATGAACAGCTTGTAGGAGGAGGTAATTCTTACTACAAAATACCTGGAGTCATCTAATGCAGAGATCTGTAGCTGGTGTGGTTACAGTTGTAGTGAAATCTGTGAAATCTGATTTAAGGACAGAAATCTTTTGTCAAGAAAAAAATTTCTATTTTTTAATACTAAAATTTTAATTAACCACTGCCTTTCTTTTGCTTGAAGTGCTGATGAAAACTATGGACGGGCTGTGCTTAATCAATACAAATCCCAAGATGGTCTACACAGGTACAGCAGAGTATCAGAACACCTTTATTATATTATTTATATTATTATTTATTATATATTATTTGACAACTATATTGTCAAATAAAATTGAGTTTCCTTTTATTCTATCTTGTTTATAGCAAGAACTTGCTTTGATCAATTTTAGTCTACACATGTCCACTGTAAATCTGACTCTGATGACAACAATTGTTAAGTCAATCATTGCAATGAATGAGGTTGGATGTGTTGACACCTGGATGGTCTGAAATCCTGTATGATGCCTTAATTTAAGATACATATTGTTTTATTGGTGATGAGTTGTTTAATTAAAGAGTGACAAAAATGGCATTTATAACCTTTTTTATAGAAGTAGCACAAATGAAAAGGAAGATCAGAAAGCTGTACTTGGACGATACAGATCTGATACTACCTTGGACAGGTAGGGCTTTTTTTCTCCATGTATTATATTTCATGATTCTCATACTTGTGGGAGGTCTTAAAAATGAAATAATGAGTTAAAACAATGGGGTTTTAAGATGTCATTTATTAAGCATTTAAGTAGAAGACTGAGTGATTTTTGCATGAATTGTCAATGAGGCAAATGGAAATGTGATTTGAAAAAAGGTTCTTTGACATCTTCCTCTTCTTTTTCTGTATCAATTTCTGTGTATTCTTGCCCTCAGAAAAGTATCCATGAACAGATGATAGCCACTCCTCTCCAGTTTCCTGCTTTTTGAGCTATAAATCAAAGTCCTATCTGCAATAGTTAAGTACACATGGCTAAGCCTTAGTTATCTTCCAATCCTTGCTGCCACTTCTTTATCATGATCAGTACAAATCTCAGAAGCATGTGCTTGTCATACAGGTGCTTAACTTGAATGCCTTCTTCAGCCTTGACCTCTGCTGAGTTAAGACATGACCATGCTTGTGTTTGCAGATTCTTTCTGTATTGCATCTTCAAAATTCAGTCTCCACAACAGGCTGAGGCAATGAGTACCAGCCCTTACAAGTTCAGTGTGGAAAAAGTGCACTTGTTTGGCTAGATCTTAGCACTGTGTTACTTTGTTTGATGATCCTTACTTGTCTTGTAAGAAACAATGAGAAATTGTTATGCGAAATTCATCTTCTCCATAGTTGTCTGGAGTAAAATAGGCTACAGAGCTGTATGATATCAGCCCTCCATCAATTGTTCTATAGGCCAGGGAATCCTGCTATATTTGTTCACCCATCACGAGGAAGCCATTCCATAACTTCCAATTACATATTGTGCTTCTCTGTATTTTTTCTATTGCCATATTAGTTTTTTTTTGCTCTGGGGGTCCAAATCTACATGCAGGTATTTAAGATGTGCCCACATTTGTATATAGAGAGGAGAATAACAACGGCTTCCAGTTCATTTGCTAGTCCTACCCTTGTACTTCATAATATTGAATTTGCTCTTTTGAGTGCTTCTGAGAGTTAAGCTTTCATTTTCAGAACATTATCTATATAACTATAAGACCTCTTTCCTGAGGGACAGTAGCTGGTTCACAGATCAACTGTTTTTCTTGGCAGACATTACATTGCATCTAATAGAAGTGAATGTCATCTGCCATTTTAGAAATGCAGTGTTTGCAGATGACTTCTGAAAGCTTTGCCAGTCAACGTTTGTTTTGATTACCATAAGTTAATGTCATTGGCAAGCATCATCATCTTATGCTCCTTCTTTTCCAGAGAGATTGTGAACATATGGAAAATCACAGGTCTTGTACAGATCCTTCCTTCCACTCTGAAAAACTGTTTATTCCAAACCTTTGTTTCCTACTTTTTTACCTGTTATTTATGCATGGAAGGACCTTCTCTATCAACACACAGGAGATGGGTTTATTTAAGACCCCTGAAAACAAATTTCTGTAAAGCTCTTTGGAGATCCAAGTAGCACATATCAGTTGTGTCACTTTTATCCACATGCTCTTTCACTTCAAAACATTTTCTAAGGCTTTACTTTCATGTATGGAAAGCTGACTGTTTTCATATACACAAATATCTAACATAAAGGGTTCTTAATATGCAACAAAGGGCAGGGAATACGAAGAAAGGATAAGAGGTGTGAATATACAATTCTGATAGCTAATGCAGAGTATGTCCACATATGGAGTGAATAATGATGGTTTTACCCTGGAATGATCATGACTGGGAAGCTGCAGTCAAGTTGTTTATTTTTCCTCACTGATCACTGCTTTTCTCAAAACTATGGAATACAGACACTCCTGGATTATCTTGTCCACACCCATTTGCCAGCAGGCACTTCTGTAAGGGTGGACCACATGTTCTGCACCTGCTCAACTTTGCAACCTAATGCTTCAGGGCGTGTGGCGATATATTTTCTCTTAGCACCTTTTTGTAGCCTGAAGACGTATTTGGTACTTCTGCTTCCTCTGTGAAGGATGCTCTCCACTAGGTGCAAATCCCTTGTTTTCTTATAAATTATTTCTGACGAGCATACCCATAGTACAGAAGTACTTTCCCCCCCCCCCTTTCAAAACTAAAAGGCAGAATTGAAAATGGAGCAGGTTCCTGGGATGTAGAATAAAGCCTAAAAGACCACTCCTAGGAGACAGTTCTTGAGAAGAATTCCCATGGTATTGGAGATATCTCAGAGCTGTTGACAGAGTTATTGTAAGTCCTGCTGTCTTTTTTCAAAGCTTCTGCTACTTGGGCAGCAGTGGAGTAGGATGCCAGATGGACCCTTCAAGTCTTTAAAATGAGAAAATATAGAACTACTTAAATGATTGTGCTGAAATTATGAAAATGCAAAACGAAACATGAAAGACGCTGATGCATTGGACAGCTGTGCATTAGAAGAAACGCTGACGTTTCCATCAGCAAGTGAGAGCTCTAGTGAGACCTCTAGTGATCTTTCCAGTAACTGTAACTGCCGGTCACAGTTACAAACTGGCCTTGATGGGACATAAGTATTTGCACAATTACATTTTAGATTTGAAAAAAGCACAGAGCACATCTGGTGCAGACTGTGCCCCAGAGCTCCTTTGAAGGCTTTTCATTAAATACAATGAACTGGTATAAATACAATGGTATTTATAATCTATGTCAATGTACACCACCTTATATTTGAACTTTTTGAAGGTCCCCTCTTCATATTAAAGAATATTCCGTATTTGGGAAGAAAGATCAAATAAATGAAGTATTAACCTGTTTCAGCTACAATAGCTACGTGGGGCTTTCTGTGAAACTTGGGAAGAGTTGTAGGCAACACTTGTGAAATCCATAAAGGGCTTGGAAAATCACATGGTTGTTTCTTAGTGTAAATTTCACAGCTTAATAAAATCAATTCAAGCAAAAATGATCTAAATTCTTAGATAGATGTTATTCCTGTAGGTCACTACCATGATTTATCCAGGATTTTACACTGGAGTATTTTCAAATCTCATTTATGTTTAAAAGCTGTAAAGAAAATGAGGCTGGTGTATATATTAAATGAGAAAGGGGGTGGTTTACATACTGCTTGCTGTCTGAAAAACATTGTTTTCTTTCTATTATCATGATCAAATTCAAAGGAGTTGTAATAAATTGTTAACAACAATGGGCCTTGATGCACTGTATCAGTTAGTGTATGAACATAACCTTTTGAAAGTTTTTTTCAGTGAGCTACTTAGACTCTTCAGATATTAATGCACCAAATTTATATTAATTCAGCTTCTGTTTCATACCTATTTTGATACTGGGGAAAGTGATGGTTTTAATCTTTTAATTTTATGCAAGTGTTGTGGTGTGTTTCTTACAGAATTCCAGCCAGCAGTGACACTGATAAAATAAATAATTCTCCAACTCTGAATAATAAGCAAAGCAACAGGTATGAGTTTTGGAAACCTAAGTATTATGAATTGTAATTTACCATGTACCATTTATATAGAATGTATTATAATCTACATGTTATATCTTATTAGAACTTTTTCTACATACCAAGAATATATCATATAAAGAAGTAATTTGTATGGTACATGGCCTAAGAGTAGGCTTCATTTCAGCACCTGACATCTGGAATGTAGACATTTATATCTAGGTTATCACAGACTCTTTTTATAGCCAGTGAAGAAAAAAAAAAGATATTTTGGAGGTCATTCTTCTGATAGCTGTTGGATATTTTCTTTAGAATAAGAGGAATTTTCCTTAGAAATGCCTGTTTCCCCACAGTTCAGATTACACATTTCAGATTCAGATTACCAGTTCAGATTATACATTTACTTAGCATAGCAATTATTTAAGAAACACAATATTTTAAATACAAAAAAAAAGAAACAGTAAGAGTGTTTTGAAAACAATTTGATTTGTGTATGTTCTAGAGCACTGCATTTTTCTGCATGAGTTCTGCCAAGTTTGATACATATATCTCAGGAAATTCTACATGAACAAACCCTAATTAAGGTTTTCAATTTCAAATTGCCAATGGGAAACTTTAGTACCAAAGTGTGAATAATACTTTTTTTTTGATAGACAGGCTAACTGATTTTTCCAATGGAAAGTAAATAGAAAATGTAGAACTTATTTTAACACTTTTCTTCTGTCAGAAGGTCAGTCTTTTTAATTCAAAATAGTTTAGCACAATATTTTTGACATGTTATAAAACATTTGTTACAATTTAGAGATGATCAATTCATATATGTAGTATGACTTCACAATACTGAAAATTTAGCTTCTAGAGAACTTACAGCTTTTACCTGCTTGACATTTTTATTAAAAAAATGAAAGTCTGAAGAACTCAGCCACCGTATTTAGAAAAGTAAAGGGCCAAACATGTCACTTTGTACCTTCATAAGTGTCAGTAGTGTTCTATCAGTAATAAATTATACTGAAAACAGTTGCTAGTGAAGTCTGCACACAGCAATTAAATGTCATCTTGCAAAGTGTTGAGATATTACTCTGAAAAGCAAATTTGTATCTCTGGCATTTAAAGTCCAAGTGAGGTCATTCTTTTAAATAATGATCTTGCACAATTATGTTGTAAATCATAGTGATGCTGACACATGGAACAACATATAAATTGGATTTTATATTATTTTGTGCACAGATGATTTTTTAATAGACCTGTCATGAATTTTGAAGTGGGTCGTCAGTGAGACTTAAATGGTATATACTTTTTCTTGCCAGAAAGCAATACAAATACTTGTAAAGCTCTGTTCTTCAGTTATTCTTGTTCCATTAAGAATTGCAGAGGACAAAACAATAGCTTTTTTATGAACTTTATGAGAAAAATCACTGGCTTGGAATTTATATGGTTAGGAGCATGGGGAACACCAGCTTCTTTTACGGGCTAGCATAAAATAAAGAAGCACTGACATAACTGAATAAGAAACATGAAATTTAAAGTTTGAAAAATAAAGGTATTAATATTTTAGCGGTTGGACACTGAAGTGAAGGCACAGAAGTCATGATTCTAAGAAGTCTGAAATTCGGTAATAAAGTAAAAAAACATCTGTTCTCTAAGCATCGGAATCCCCAGGGTGTCTAAAATCTTGTATCTTTTAAGGAATTTTCGAAATTTCAGCTGGCATATATAAATATAGTCATACCGTTTGCCATACACAATTGTATCATTTCATAGCAGAAATATAATGTCTTATCATTGGGTTTTTTTTTATTTCAAATTGCACGCCTATTGAAAACAAATGAATTTACTAAGTATATTTCTTTAACAGGCAGTCTTGGACTCCTAATGCATCATCCACAAACACTGCTGCGACTTCTCCAATCAAGAAAAAAAGGTATTAATGACCATGATTGCTAGAGGATAAATAGCACCCTATTAAACCTCAGTAACATATCACAACCACATTAAAAAGCCAGGACCAACTTTTTCCTTGGGCACACTCTAACTCTTCAGGACGATTTAGGTATCTTTCACATGCCCTGGCTTTTTCCATGGGAGCACTGTGTTGCCTCTGCAGAACAAGCTCTATGAGTCTGGTGCATGCAGTGCAACAGATGCACACTTCCCAGCTACAACTGTGTTCATTTGTGATTTCCTCTTTCATATTTCATGCAGAAAAATGGTCATCAGTAGAATTCTGAAAGTAGAAATTAAAATGTCATTGTTTTGATATTACTGGCCCTGCTTGTTTGATGGAAGTTTCTGGTGTTTTCAGCCCAGTAGATCTCTTTAGGCTCTTTGAAGATGTGAAACACCATCACTGAACTGAACTCCTTATGGTGCAATTGCTTTTTCCTCACAAACAATTGCCAGATTGATAGTTTTGAGGGGAAAAAAAAAAAAAAAAAAAAGAACTGAAAGTGCTTGTGATGTTTATGCGACCTCTGATACCAACCTGAACGTGTTTCTTGGGTTTATACTTGACACCCTTTCCTTTGTCCATTCTATCTCGTTCTCCTTCCATGAATAGTCTATTTATTTGTACCATTCAGGTTGCACAAAAGATCACCTAGAGTCAGAGACTACATTTTTCACACCAAAAAATTGAATTACTATATTATTTCCAATCCCATTCAGTTGTCTGGGGGAAAACAAACAAACTAACTAAACAAACTAAGAAGTCTCTGTATGCAGTATTTAAAAATACTAATAATTTAAGAAAAGTTCCAGGTATCTCTACTTCACTTCTGATATTCTGACTTTCCTAGTATGCTGTTTAGCCCTGGCCCCAGTATTGGCGTTAAACCAATACTCATAAATTTATTTGACAGGCAATCTTGGATGCCTCCTCCAGTTTCAAGTAGTACAACCACAACAGAAACAGTGGACAACAAACAGTGAGTACTGATGATCACAAGTTTTTTTCCTATTTTTTTGGCTAGAGATGATTTTTTGAGTGAGAGCAATTCTTTGAGGGACTGAGTTTGGTGAGTAAGATGGGAAAACATCCCATGCCTAAACACTTTTTTTAGCTCTTAGCAGTTTGATGCCCAGCATTGACTGAGGTCTAGGTATATGAAGTGCCAGCGACTTGAGATTACGTAAGTATTTCTACAATGCTTATATACTTTCTTCATGATTTGACTTTGGACTATTCCAGTTAGTTCTCCACAAGACAAATTTGCTATAGAGCAACTAGCCATAAGGGTAGGAGTCTGCTGGTGTCATTTCATCTGACAGCCAGGGACTAACGCTTGGTCTCTTTGGTTAAGAGCGGACAAAACCTCCAGATCTGCTTCATCAGCTCTCAGTAAGGTGTCCAAAAAATAGTTTTCAAGAAAAGATCAGGCTAAAGTTACTTGCAGATGAATGTTTAGTGTTAATTTCTAAAGCTGTGGTTGCTTTTTGGAAGTTCAGAAACAGAGCAGAGAACACTTCTTGTGCTCACCTCTAAAAGCATATGTACTATTTAAAATATTCATGTATGAACTTTCATGACATTCTTTGCTGAAGTCCCCTATTGGCTGCAGCATGGCCTTCTACTTCCCTAGTTTTAATGTAGGAAACCTCTAACGTGAGTCTCATGCATATCAATGTTGAACATTAAATGAAACAGAAAGTAATGGATACATTGTCATGCATAATTCCTTGGTAGACCATTGCCTTGGGAGTCTGTGGAATCTGTCACTGGAAAACTTTAAGATGAATCCTTAAAACCAAGCCTGGCAATGATTACTTAATCTTATTCTTTATTCACTACCATCCTTCTGTTTGGCCAAGATTCAAAGCCACTCATCTCCCAGCAGAAAGATGGCTCCTAGATGCTAAAGTTTATTTTCTTGTAAATCAGTGCTTACTAGATATTTTTAATATGTCAAAGATGATTAATTTATGTGGCTTCATTCCAACATCTCAGTCTGATCATGGTAATTTTGAAAACATAGGATAGGATGCATCCTCTATTCAGTATCTGCCCAGATTAAAAAAAAAATCCTGGGATTCCTGTGTCCTTCTTAGCATTATTTATCCAGTTACTCCTTCACTCTCACAGTTCAGAGACCAAAATACAGGCATATTCTTTCTGAAGCTTTCATGACTCCTCCTGGATCATGAAACAATGATGTCACCCACAGACACTTGGTTAAACAATGATGGGCATTCAATGATTAATTTGTTTATCTTTTAAAAGTGCTTTGAAGATGTGAAAACCTTTTCAAATTGTAAATATGACTATTAATAATAATAGTCACCAAAGGAAAGCCTTTTACTCACCTGTGAGGTTCAGGAAATAAAGTGCTATGCACAGATCCTAATAACCACAGTTTTAAAAGCTCACTATCAGTCTTTAAGATAGGTGGAGCAAAGAGCTGTGTGTGTTCTTCAAATATGGGAATGGCTGATTGTTCTGCCCTTCCACTCAGGAAGGGATTTCAGCAATCATGGCTTTGTGGGGTTTTTTGGTCATGGCTTATTTACTTATCTTTTCTGATTCTGAGACCTGATTCTAGCATTCTTAGCCAAGCGTGACACAAACTTCTAGAGTTTTTTTGCCTCAGTTGCAAGCTGATTAAGCACACTTTATAGAACACTTTAAAGAAATTGCAGTTGAAGCTAAGAATATAAGCACCTCATTGTAACTGAGTTTTTTGGTTGTGAATTGAGTGCTGAAAACAAAATGCTATTGATCAGCGTGATAGACTGGAGAATGTTAATTGAATAATTATTGTCTTAGTAACATACAAAGAATATGAATAGATTTTAGTACTATGCTACTTGAGTTAAAACTTGCTACGTTCCACATTAAGAAACAATGAAAAATACTGGCTTGGGATGAAGGAAATTAATTTTTTTTGTTGTTGTTGCTGGACCTAAAATTTTTCAATGTTCTTTGATACTACCATTTTGATATTTGGTTTCTGAAATATTTACTCTTTTCTTCCTCTAGGACCACCACTTCAGAAAACTCAGAGGCTCCAGCAATGTAGGTGTTGCTTACTTGGCTTCCTAGTAGATTTGTAAATATAACATACTCCTGTGCATAAACCTTGATTATTAATTTTCATTTATTTAAAATAGAAATACTTTATAATTTATCTGTAAGGATTCCTCCATAGTCAATGTCAGAGAAGCACATGAGGAAGATTTCCTTCCTAGCATGTTATTATTTTCACATAGGTTAGAACATTTCATTGGATAGATATTCAAATTTGAAAAGAAACTTTACCTGCATAAAAGATTTTAAAATGCTTCAGCATTTTAGTTCCACAGTTATATATGTTGCTAATGCAACCACTCCTTCATATTAAATTGATGCATTAAAGAGAGCTAACTGAAGAGAAAGAAAGTGGTAAATTAAAATGCTGTGCACATGCAAAGGCTTGTAATAGAAGCCATTAGCATAAGATGAATTGATATAAAGTACCCTGAACTTATTTGAGTGTCTGCAAAGGTTGCTCTAATTTTAGAAAATAAATTAAATACATTAATTCATTAATTAATTAAATATACATTTCACATGGTCTAAATTAGGAAAACTTGACTTAACTAACTGCAATTTCATGGCTTATAATTATGGCAGTTACAACACTTGTTACGGTTTAGTTGCCATCCTGATAGAAAGATTCTCTAAAGAAGCATGTAACTCTCATGTCCAACTACATTAGCTACTTTCTCCCTTACTTATAATTTCTTATAATTTTAGTATTCCTGTAGTGACCAATCTGACTGTTCACACAAATAAGTATAAATAGGGAAATGTAATTGTTTATTTACTTAGTTTTTAAAAAAATTGGTACTTTGCTAAGTAAGTAAAATGCTAGTCTTTACTAAATAAGTAAATTTTTTTTTTGTGGGTAGTAGAAAAGTATTTAAAAGTTTCTTTATTACTGTAGTAATTTTGAAACAGCAAAGAAACTCCACTTTATAATTACAGTAATACTAGGAAAACTGCTTGGAATGCTGATTTCTGAAAAGGCTCAATGGATGTAGTAATCTAGTGAACTAAAGCATTACATAGTTTTTTAATATATATATACACATATACATTTCAATGTATAATTATAGATGTTAATTTTTTTGTTTTATACGTATTAGAAGAAAATAACAGAAAAAAAGTTTCTCAAAGAAAATCCAAACTCACTGTGGTTACACTTGTTAAGAAATATAATATCTTCAATGATAACCAATTTTCATGACATAATGTATGTCCTAATATCTTCTTGTGCCATAAATATGTTCTCACCATTCCCCTTGCAGGGCTGCCTTTTCATCAGAACAGGTGACCCCTCAGAAATCCAAGACTGATGAAAAGGATCAAGCTACATCAAGGTAACTTAAGCAGGTGTAATCAAAACACTGTTCTGGTAAACATTTTTAAATGTGCTAAATGTGATAAGAAGTATTCAGCTTGTTTGTTTTCCCTATTTGATAGTGCATTTGGACACGGCATGTGTGATAAAAGCAGCATCTACAAATCCTAACAATTGGCCCAGGAACTTTGAGTTCCATCTTACTGACTTGCTAAGTTATCTCAGATGTTTCATTTCTTAGCCTTTCAGGACCGTCTAGCCTGCATCTTAAAGATAGTTGCTGCAAGTGTTTGGAAGCAGATGAATTGCAGTAGTATGGATTACATAGTGTATTTTTGTTGGTCTTCAGTAAATTGTGGGAGAGATAATATCTACAGACTCCTATGTACATAAAAAAAAATAAAACCTGTCCATTGCAGTGTTAACATTTTAAATACTAAAACCCCAACATATAGCGTTTAGTGTGACAAAATTAGTAGGTTTAAACAGATGGACTTGTTCTTATGGTATGAGTTAGATGGCATATGTACTAATGTGTCTTGGAAAGTGTACAGAATGCCATGAAAACTCTTGGTGGAAAAGAGAAAAAAATTTTCACTTTGAATTTCAGCAAATGGTAAGGTTCTCTCCTAGTGGAGATGCTACGTTTTTCAAAACAATCAGCAATAACCATGCAAAAAAATTGACTCTGTAGCCTTCATCAGCAATTAAAAATGAGTGAATTAGAAATAGATCTCCAGATACGCACTGAGAATTACACTAGCTCATTTTGAAGGTTTTACCTGGGAATATTAAATGGTAAACACCATTAGTTTAAAATGACTAATTTTATTGAATTTGACTAATAAAGTACAGTTTTCTGAGGTCTAAAGCCACAGTCTGTATTATTTGGAATTGTGCCACCCTCTCCCTGAAGTCTCCAGTATGTAAAATCAGTACAAAACATTTAACAGAAACATCCAGAAAATATCTGACCTAGGCAGAAAAGCGATGTTTCAGTGAAATATTTTCCTGTCAACAAATGTGGGAGATCTTAGAGAATTAAATATGCCACTGTATTAACCAGAGAAGTCACAGCATTTATTCATTCCTAAAGGCTTGTTCAGGTCTTAATCCTTATCCTCAATTAGTTCACATTTATCATTCCCCAGAGGCTCTCATTACCATATGAAGCTTTGTATTCCTGTTCCTCCATTGGTGGAGAACTGGAGGAATATTTTACTGGTCCACAAGTTTCTATGGTAACATCGTGCTGCTACAGCAATATGTGACAGTATATAGACTATAAGTAGCCTGTAATCTTAGTGGGCAAAATTCAACCTTCTCTACTCCTGCTATAATTCCATTACATTTGACTGGTTCTTCAGCTGTCATCCATCTGCTGCTGCTGCATTAGCTTCTCAAAACTGCAGATTTTTGTTACATTTCCACTAACCAAAAATGCATTAAGAAGCTGTCAGCAAAAGTGCCTTTTTTTTCCTTTTAAAGATGTCATATAAATACTACACTTTTGGCAAAAATAATTGTGACACGCAGGTTAAGTAAACAGCTGCATTAAAAGTATTTCTAGTCACATCAACATTTATTAGAATAGTATTTTATCTTACATCTATACATTCCCTACATATTTACTTTGAATTGAAAGATTTTTCAGGTCACACTTTTAAAGTCATAATTAATTGATTATTTGTCTTTTGGTCAGGATTCTGACAGGGATGTTAAAGGAAAAATTAAATGGAAAACAGCAAGTGGTTTTCTATCAAGCTGATCAGCAATGCAGGGAAAATCTTTAGAAAGGATTTACCTAGAAAATATGGCAGATCCTATCTCTTTTGGCTAAAAGTGTAAGCTTCATTGTGTCCTGTTCCATGCAGGGCCTAACACTGATTCTGTCAATGCAAAAAGCAATTTTTGCATTGTTTTCAAGTACAACAGTTAAATGTGGCATCTATCTTACACCATAGATTATACAATAATACAAATAGCATATCTGGAAGCATGGACATAAAGACCTCCACCTTTGGCTATGATTAACAGGATGGAATATGCATCTCATTATTAACTAGGGCATCTAGGGGTACCCTAGACAACATAAGTAGTCTAGGATCTAGAAAACGTAAAGATAACCACTGTCTAACAACTGTATCTTTTTAAGAGCACAGTAAGTCGTCCTCACATCAGGTCTCTTGGATCTTACCATTGCAGCAGCATGTGAGCACTGCAATGGATACATACAGAGGCATTTCTCTGATGTAATCAATGGGTCTTTTGTTCATTGCTTGTGAAGTTTTTTTGTGTTGAATTTCCATCCAAGATTCTCACTTCATTTTTCCATTACACAACTGTAAGAATCATTAAACACAGGTGTCTGAAATCTTAATTTCTTTTTAAGAACTAATTATTGTTAAACCACTTTGAACATCTTGAGGGTGTTTAAGATCTTTATTCAGTCTATCATTAATGAGCATAGCTAGGAAGCAAAAATGTGCAATTCTATAAAATACTTTTATGTGGGGTTCAATTGTATTCAACTACGTTGCTTCCTTGCATATGATCTGTAGAGAAATTCACTGTATTTGTCATGGTGGGCCACATTTAACAGTGCAGTAACAAAGGTATTATCACCAGATCATACAGAATAATCCAAATGCCATCTTTCCAGCAGTTCATATAATGTAGAAATGATGAATCTATCTTTGATAAATAGGTATATAAAAATCTGTGTTGGACATATCTGAGCAGAAGCTTTTGCGTTGACAGTAACAGGGGCTACATAAGAACTTAGAGATCTCACCCAGCTTTTAAAGCATCTGTAGTGAGATTTTCTGCTACTGGAGAACAATGATTAGTCTGCAGGGGCACAGGGCATATTGCAGAAACGTTTGCATAAGCATGTCTTTTTGGTATGCCACCACCAGCAGAGTTAAGTTGAAAAAAAGTTTCAGCTGTATATTTGTATGCATGATGGTGAGAGAGGCAATTTCTAGGCAACAGAAACAAAGAACTAGAATAGTTTTCCTGGATAATTATGCAGATTCTATATTCTTTGCTCTTTGTAATTTATTTTTTTATAAAATACAGTACATTTAATATTAGTTCTGTACAGGGTCCACTATAATTACTTCTATCAGACAGCAGCAAATTTAGACCATGCTGTAAATATGTTTGTATTACGCTTCTATTTAATGATATTTCTATTTGACCTGAGATGTGTTGCCAGTTTTCATTATAAAAGATTGTGAAAGAACAACACATTAATTACCTGTGCTTAAACTATCTCTTGTAACAAAGACATATTTTTCTGTGTTTATTGACATTTGGTAACTTGGAAGTATGGAAAAAATAAGACACTGTTTTTCCAAGTTATGTAAAAAATAGGAGTATAATGGTGTTGGTGTGGAATTTTCCAAACCAGTGGGATTAAAATCATTGTGTTGCATCTCCTAAATGAACCTCTATTGATAAAAATTTGTATTGTTCTAGAGCTACAAAGAGAACAAAATGGAGAGAACATGCAGGTGCATTTTGAGGCATTGGCCAATTCTGTATTCTCATTACATTAGAAAGAGAAATCTCATTTATGGAGACAGGCAATACCAGACAGCCACTAAAAACACCCTAGAGAACTATCTTAGGTTGGACTAAAGCTTAGATGACCAAACTCAGAAGGTGTGAATCCCATACTAGTTATTCCTATGTGATTTTTCCATTGTGTTGTCTTTTTAATCTGCTTTCACTTTTTAGTGAGAAATTCAGGAGACCTCTAAAATGTTCTGGACGACACTTATGTCACTCAAAAAATGTTGGAAGAAAGGATACTAAAACAGAATTCACGAAGGCATACACATAATTCAGTAGTCATAACTGCAGCCAGGTCTTGCTTTGGCTACACTAACAGTTTTTTCTTTATGGGAGAGTGAAGTGGCTTTACACTGCTTAAATTGTTTTTGATAGTGGAAATTAATACGGTCATTTTGATGACACATTTTTGCACTTCAGCAGCAGGCACTTCCTAGTGACAGGGACCTTCTGCTTCCCAATTCTGACAGATTTGGCATTCAGTAGAATGCTGGGTTACAGCTTTCCTGCATGCTGCCATAAATGATTTGCTGTTGCAGAGCTTATGTGAAGAGATCTAAGCCCATTATTCTTCACTGAAAAGTTAGTGCAGTGTTTACAGAGTCATGCATGTCCTCCAGGCAAAACTGAATAAGTTGTCCTTTCTTCAGTGATTTTTCCCAGTGCACCTCTGATAAAACATTCTGATCAATGGCTTCTTCCTCTGTATTTAACTCCAAAATCCTCTAGGCTAAGCATTACACTGGTTTTGGCACAGTATAAATTGGCTTTCACAGTTGACTGCAGAGCTCTTCTGTTCCCTCAACCTTGGCTGCTGTTGATGAAAGGTCTGAATGAGGGTTCCTGGCACTGACTAGTGAGGATAGCACTGTGGAAGGAAATGCATCCTGCTTCAGAATAAATGCCGCTCTTTTCTCAAAGAACTTCTTTAGTAATTTTCAGTTATGAATTGCTATAGTGACAGCAAAGCAGCCATGGATGACAGATCAAAATTCAGCCAGACCCATGACGTTAAGCTTTATCCTGTGAGAGCATGACATGCTTGATATAATCTAGACCAACTCTTTCAGTTCAGATTTGGAAGCTCCAGTTGGCAATTGGTGGGTTTTTTCTTCTTCTCTGCTGACATTACTAGGTCAAAAAAGCCAGGAAGGTTTTAGCCAGACTTTGTTAGTGTGATCTTTGCGTATTCACAGAATTGCCAGAGTTGGAAGGGACCTCTAGAGATCATCTAGTCCAACTCTCCCACTAAAGCAGGCTCTGACATACCACCATGTCAGAAGCAGCTGTTTATCAGAATGCATTGTAGGAGGTCAAGTGGGAGAGATCACTGCAGAAAAGACAACAGATGCAACTTGTCTGGTATCACATATAGAAATATTATAGATATATCTTATAATATCACCTATTATGAATAGGGAGTCACCTCGGTAGTTTTTA